CGACCAACTTTTTCGCCCGTACAATATATGGAACAGATATTTTACGAGTATCACCCGTTAAACATAACAATTCGGCAAAATAATATACTGAGCTTGAGTGCCGCCCAGCAAAGCTTTGCAACAATAATAACACCACAAAAGTATTATTTGATAAGTGACGCAACCAAGCAGTGTATCGCGTTAAAAGTTGTTATAATATAAACCATATTTAACTTAATAATTTCATTTATTTGACGAATGATTTGACGGATGATTATGTCACATCCGTCAAACGGATGATTCCCGTTTAAATTTTATTAAAGATTTTGATTTTTGAAGTAGCGCGCGCCGGGCGGCTTTTTTGGAAATATTGGCCTGAGGCAAAATGCAAGGGAATAGTGCGCGTCGAGTATTTTATTAACAGTCTAGTGGATCGGACATTGGACAACAATATTATGCGCGCTAAATTAATAATTAGCTTGGAGGACTTCGCCGCTTCGACGCGCCGCGCAAACTAGCATTCTTGCTTCGCATCGAAGCAATCCGTCGACGATCGTTGCTCTGCTTCGCAGAGCAACGATCTCGACGGATTGACATCGTCAATCAAATAATTAGCGTAAAACAAAAATTGTGTTTGATCATTTTAAAAATTTTCAAGTATAAAATAATTTGTAATTATTTTTGAATTATTATTTGAAATTTCACTGGTTTGGTGTTATAAATTGAATATGTTAACATTTACAATTTATACTTGCTATAAGCTTTCCCAGACAAAAGTGGACTGATTGTAATTGTGTTCAATATAAAGGGAATGGCGCACTAAATAATTAAACTGGTCACTTTTCGTTACTACGCTTACCTGGTGAGTGTGGGTCCCAGCAAACCTTACTGGCTAGCGATATTACTACAGGGTAATCGCCTTTTCAAAGCTTGTTGAGCTCTGCGCGCGCTCGTAAGTTCATTGCATTTGCACGCTTCAAACATTCCAAAGATGCAATTGTACCGCGTACCACGTGATACGATTCAGCCAATCAGAGAACAACAATCTGCAAAGTTATAGCTGCGCAGTTTTGTAAGGCCTAAAATATGACTTTTCGCGATAATTCAAAATCTACGTTGTTTTTAATTTCCCCCTGGGGGAAACGTTATTTTTACAAGGCGAACATTTTGTTGAAAACCAGACGTTTCTATCTCTTTTACTTCCAAAGTTAGGCCCCTACCAATAAGGTTTCCTGGGGTATTTCTATTAATTATTATGTGTGGGGACCTTATGTTAAAATATGAGTACTTAAAACCTTAATTGACGATGTCAATTCATCTCATTGAGTGCGCGGCGCGGTACAGTAACGCATCGCGCTACAATTAAAACCTACATCTTTTTTTTTACTAAATTACCAAAAATTTGATTTGAATAGATTTTTACCAAGTCTCATGTGGTAGCACTGATTAAGGATTAGATTTATTTCTTATCTGCTAATAGTATACCAGATATAGACATTTAACTGTCAAAGCTGCAAATAGTTTACGGATAAAAACGATCGCATATCAAAGCTGCGATTATGTCATTGCAATAGATTTAATTTTTCCTAGTGGGGCGTACTTCTGTAGCTTTGTCTGTTAAATTGCGGCCAAGCACTTTCCAAACTAAAATTAATTACTTTAGCACCCGATCCATTCCTAGATTTGTTTACTGTCATGATCAGAGTGAAATTGAGTGGAATTTGAATTAAAATATTGTCCACTTGTTATTTTCAACCGTCATCATTTGAGAACCCCCTCCCCCCCTCGGCTGATTACATAATATCGGAACAACCCCTTACCACCAGGCGATTTTTAAACAATTTGCTTATTGGCTTCTTCAGAGTTTTGTCGAAACTATACAAAAAAAACCAGTCCCATAACTCTAACCGCTTTCTTAATTAAGCCGCTCGGGAATTACACACGTGCATGCAAACTCACATACACACACACACACACACACGCACATTTATTGGGATTATTAGTATCCTTATACAGAGTCATGAAGAAAATCTTAACTTGATAAATAACCAAATACTGTACTATAGGATTTCTTAGAACATTTACAAATGAAACACAAGTTTGCTATGCTTGGGTCTGTTGGGACTACGAACCCTCTGAGCCAGTTTCAAGCTTTTCGCCCTGATAACATATACGATTTAAAGTAAATTGATTAAGAAATATCTATAAGTACACTAATGCACCTACTACTAAATGCACCTACTACATAAATTGACAATGTTATGATTAAATTGTAAAACTCTTCTTAAGTTAATAAAATTAAAGATGATATGTCAAAGCTATGTTACAAAATTATTTGAGTAATATCTATCATAGTACACAAGTGTCCTTGACTCTTACTTATATGATATTGGCCTCATGATGCTCGTGTAGTGGAAAATGAGCTTATTATATTGGGCCACTTGCACAGACGAATGATCATTGCTAATAAAAAATAATCATGGATGTTTCTTAGAGGCTGTGCAAGGCAGTAAATAAAATTATGACTTGATATAGTATAGAAATCCTATATCAAAAAGATGCATTCATGAAGTAGAAATTCAGAGTTGGCCGAAAGAGTCAAAATCAAAAGATTTTGATGATTCTGTAGCATGTAATGTCTGAATTGAAATATTTCTATAAATATGATCCATTTCAACATTTAACAAGTTTGCTATAATACTGACTAATGCAAACAACATCACACGTCATCATAAATATTTTTACAAAAAAATGCTTAATTAAAATAAAATGGTAGCATAACAGTCCCAGTATAAATATAACTAATTATGCTTTCTACTACTATATAATACTGTAACTTATATTTAAGTTAATAAAGCGTTTTTCAGCAACATCGGGTATTAAACCTAAGATATTCATTCTGCTTTTCCTAATTATTAACATAATAGATTCCCTCAATTCTTGGTAAGTGGCAATAAATTAAAATCAGATAAGCTTAAGTTATGGTCTCTTAATTATGTTATAACATAATTTACACGTGTGTGTAATCAGTGTAGCTTGTGTTGCAAATATCGAGCTCTCTTATCTTTTGTAAATTTGCAATAAGTTCAGTTTGCTGTTACCGCGTAGTTTACCTTTGCGTGTGTACTTGTACATTACTATACAAGTACACTATGGGGGATGACCCAACTTTGACCCGATCCCAGGAGTTGATTAAGGAGTTCAACTATGATCAACAGGAAGATGTGGAAGGCTGTGTTGCACGCTGGTCCGATCAGTTAGAAAAAGACCTGCATATGGACTACCGTGAAATTGACTACGAAAGTCGTGAAAAGATCAAGACTAAGGATAAACAGACTCTGTCTAGATGGATTGTGGATGCAGTGGACCTTGTTCGTCGGCAGAGTAGTCAGATGTATCTCTTGAAGGAGATCATCGAGTGCTTCAAGACGGAAGCACTAGCAGACAAAGAAAAGGTGATCAGACTGCAGGGCCAGCTGCTGATGCAGAAGGACGAACAACTACAGTTGCTTAAGACGTCTGTTGAGGAGACAGTCCAAACAACGGTGGAGTCAGGGATTCAGAACTATAGTGCAGCTGTTCAACAGAACAATGCAAGTGGTACGGTCTGCAACAGTAAAATCCTGAAGAAGGTGATGAAGAGTGTGGCTGCAGAGGAGGACAGGAGCAAGAACCTGATCGTGTTTGGGCTGAAAGAAGAGGAGGAAGAACAGCTTCCAGCGCTAGTTACCGCAGTTTTGGAGGAGATCGGGGAGAAACCTCACTTCGAAGCGACTAGAGTCGGTTGGAAGAGGCCAGGTAGTACGGCTATCCGACCAGTCAAGATCACTGTCCCAAGCTCAACAGCGGTTCATCAGATTCTGATGAAAACAGGGAGACTGAGGGAGACGCACAAAGATGTATGGATATGTCCAGACAGATCCAGCGAAGAACGAGCAACAAGGAAGCATCTGGTCACTGACCTGAAGAAGAAGAGGGCGGAACAGACTCATCTCGACCACTACATCCGGTACGGGAAGGTATGTAGCCGTGATAAGAAGTCATCATGAGTTACACTCTCGGACACTGATCAGTATATGAAGGAGTGATGATTATTTTAAGAATTTTCAGACGTTATCTGTATTTAAGAGACAACTATATATTTTGAATATTTTATTATTTGATTGTTTCACACTTTTCATATTTCATAATTTTATTACTAGGTGGAGGTGATGTTATTGAGACTTTGGGCGGCCATAAAACTCCTGTTTTGAAAGTTGTCCTCTGTACTTGTTTCACTGACCCACGCTTTATAGCATTTATACATTTCGGCCCATTTTATATGTTTGTTCGACTTGCTGTACATTTGTATATTTGCTATTTTGTAAAAGTTTCAAATCAAATCATGTTATAACACAGATTTATAAATAAATTCGTTTTAAGTCTAGCCAGTTTAGCGTGAGATGTTTTGTATTTTGATACATATTTCACTATTTAACTTCTTCTGCATGATTACAGTATACTTGATTAGATTTATTTTCTATATTTTAAATTTGATACAAACAGACTAGATTTATAAATTGTAATATATTTATAATAGCATATTAGGTTCACATGGTGAGACCGTTATTGTATGTACAAAATATCTTTTGTACATATTGTATAAAAAATGTATATAATGTTGTTCACATTCCCACTTTTGATATTCAATATTCAATTTCCTGATTGAAATTCCTGTCAAAGATTCGATATAAACTCACGATCGTATTTCTCTTCAAAGGATAAGGAAGAAAACATCATGCATTCATAATCTTATCGTGGCTAGGAATAAAAACATCGCGTTGCAATGCACCAGTTGTGATGAATTTTTGTTGTGAATATAATTAATTTGCTTACCTGATTAATTGGTCTTAAGAAGTTTACTTTAACCCATTTTGTCATGAACTACTAGAGTCAAAATTTGCCAATTCTACATATTTGTTACAAACATTCATATATTTTATTATTATACAGAACACCTATAATCTATTGAAGAAGAACTTTAATTATAGCTAGTTGTAACTTAATCATCATGAAGTTTTAGATCTATTGTCTGTTACCAGATCTGAACAATGAAATTAGGACGAAAGAAATGTCCACAATGTCAAGAAATGGTAAGTGAATTAGAACTTACACTCGACTAAATATTTGCATTGTTTAAGTTGTATTCTTCAAGTTATCATTTTTTCGTGATCACAAATATTTTTTATTATGCCATTATAATACACGGTGGTTGCTAAAACAATTTCAGGTTGCTGTGGCTCGGAAGAACTGTCTAAACTGTTCCTACTGTTTCAGAAAATCGGCCGTCTGTTTACGAGGTATGTACTTTCTTAGTTACTTTTCATATTGTTAACTCATTTAGTGATTCTCAAGATTGGTGAACGGTGGTATCGGATAAAAGTGTTGAAATTGAAGTCTGTATAACACTCTGTTGAAGAGAAACTGTAAAATAACGTTTCAATATGAACATTTTTGCAAATTGGTTGAATTAAGGATCAAGTGATACCGCGAAACTGATGATTTGATTTAAATTAGTGTCTCTTACCAAACCACATGTAAATGCTGCACTAAGATGTAAGTACTACTATATAGATTATAAGTACTCTAAACGCCGATAGAAATGCTGGAAATAACGTTTTGCCACGAAATCAGAATTTCGTAGAATTTATCAAAAAGTGAGGCATCGAAATTCTCGTAAAATTTAATGTGCTACGTTAGTACTGCTAGCATTAAAATCCAACTGACGTCACTGTAGAAAATTACATAAATCAAATTAATCTTAAAATTAGAATACTGCCGTGTTCCATCACGTCTCCCTTAAGAATGGGTTCGTTGTTTTTTGTTAGATATTTGGGGGCAGATCGAATATGAATTATAAAATGATAACTTGTAAATCATGGCAAAATGCCCGATCAACTAATGATTAATATTATGTAAGTAATACATTAAGCTGAGAAAGTGACGTCACCGAAACATTTTAACATATAACGGACAAAAAATGACGGGTCTAATTGAAAAAATTATGACCCTGGTAGATTTCCTTGGGAAAGTATCTGTGTTGATTGGTAACATATTATTCAAGAAGGTATCATTTCTGACTTTCTGATAAATTTATTAGAAATTCTTGTCTAGCTGGGAAAATGACACCAAAGAATATTATCTAATCAGATAAAATGAATAATTCTGTCTTAAAATATGCAACAATTTTTATCATTATTCTGATAAATTGTTTCTGTTGGTTGTTGTGCCTTTGATTTAAATTTCATGGGATGGAATACTATATTCGATAACTTCTACACTCGTTCAGCATAGATTATATCACACATTCCCTTCCTCTAAACCGCTCACCTTTCATTGAATAAAATAATTTACATTTTTGGTGGATATCTTTGACATATTTGTCATTGCCACTCCGGATTCTTCCATCTACCGAAACCCCAAGAATTTTTGCCTTCTTTGAAGTCTAATGATCGTGAACCGTGTGTTTTGATTTTAAATACGAATACTGAACATCAAGACATTTTGTCATAAAATACTGAATGATAAATCCGTTATTTTTATTCAAACAGCCCAACGTTTGCGGTTCGTAGCTCACTTTGAATTAATATAAAAACTATTGACAAATCCCGATTAGAGAGATGGAGCTTGCGAATTATTGTCAGGTGTAAGTTCCACTTGACGAATAATATAAGTAATAATAATTCCAGTCGATGATGTAACTTGTAGCTTGAATAGCAAGCAATAATAAGTCTTCAGTCCTCTCTCTCCCCCTCTCGGCACTATTTGTCTGTCTGCCCCGTGTCAGGGTGAGACCACGTGACCTCGGCTACACCCTAACATAATATGTAGTGTTGAGGAACGTGTGATATTATGGGGTGAACGTGCGATGTGAACTATTGTAACGAGTAACGACTGTCTACTGTTTGTAATAGGGAGAACACGCAATATAATAATAACGTCATGACCTTTTAAACTGCGATTTCCTAATTGTGACTTAATTTCCGTTTTGGCAATGCGTCATCGGATGTATCAATTTCCCTAATTAGTTCTTGATAAATACAATCGCCTCATGTTGTCTGGGACATCCGCCTTTTTCAACACATCTAAATACTGATAGTAAATTACACACATTGCAATGAGAATACTCGGTCTTTTTTTTTCTTTTATTTAGCCGCCATTTACTCTAGGAAATACAAAAAGGTAGAGCTACACAAAAAACTTGTGGTAAGAGAGTGTGAAATCGATTAATATGTCGATTCGTTTTGATGGTCTAATTATGGCATAATAAAAACTAATTTTACGTTGCAGTGTAAAGAATATATTTATTGGCTATCTCTATTGTATTTTCAAATTATATTAGCGCTCATTATCAATGTAATTTATATGATAATAATATAGTGGCTGGCTAATGACGTTACGCAATTTTTGAAGTCTTTAAAAGTGTTTAAATCCACATTTTCTCAATAAAGTGATTATGAGGCTTGGATAGACGAAATCTAAACGGTTTGCTGTACGAGAGCCTTATATAAAACAAAAGTGGGAATGTCTTCCGAGGCTATATTTATTATTTAAGTGAGATGTTTAATTCTGGCCTCGTGCATTGATTCACCATAAAATTAATTATAATTAGGAGATGGTTAGTCATTGTCCTCCGTAAGGTTCTATTTTTCGTTTTATTATTTTGATTAATAATGTTCAATAATGTTATTGTAAACACTGGGAGTTATTGTTTTATCATTGGTCAATGTTGACGCCTCATAGGGCACATAGTAGCAACTAACATTTCCCTCATAGACCTAACACTTGATCATTTCTTTGTGTTTTATTCGGACTGTTATTCAGATCTCGCTGCTTTAATCTGAGCCGCTCATCAATATAAGCGATTAAATAACGCTCCTTTCAAAATGTATGGTTGCAGTAACTTTAACGTGCGCATCAGGTGGTCCCAAGGGTTTAAAATTACCATGCGAGAGGAAAATTAGGGAATATGCCATATTTTACAGGGACACATTTGTCGTCAATTTAATGGACATGGCACACGTTATGATTCTGATCGGCCATGACGGACAGTCTAAACGACCGCTCTAAATCGGAACACTGTCCTATCTGGAGACGCCACAATATTCTGTATTTGTTGTAATCTATTATCGTGTATTATCACGAACATGTTTCCACGTGATCTTTATCTTTTTGATACTTTACTTTACTACTGGCAATGTGTCGCTAATTACAGTTTGTCTGAATCTCGCTAAATGGTATAAGATATGTTCAGAATATATCGTTGGAATTGAATGATCATTCCATCAGACGAGTGTCAGAAACCAAAAAAGGGACCAAAATTTCACTATTAATTTAACTAATGACCTCAAGAATGGAAACCCCCATTCGCACCACCTCTTGAAGTTCAATTACCAGTATCTATAATTGGAACTAAGAATATGAATCCTGTACACCTGTGAGGACTAATTAGGAAAACCGTCTGAATATCTATCGCCTATTTGGTGCATATTTTCTCTTAAACGGAATGTTAATATTGAGCAAATGAGAAATTACAGGACTCTCCCGGGTGGTACCCAACGTTTTCAGACCCTGCCTCCAGTTCAGTCTCACTACTATGGGCTCTATTGTAGTTTGTGTGTAACCTCAGGGGCAGTCTGGAGTATTTACCTGCTTTGCAATTGTGTGACGTTACGCAATGTAGCCCTGTGTTCTGCATTTAATGTTCTATTCTTACAAAGCTAGTTCCGAGATGCTTTTAATTTCTTTTATAGCTAGTACCAAGCTGTTTTTTAAAGTTTTCAATAGGGGAGACCCTGTTAACTCCGCTGTTATGGGTTACTTTATAGTTTTTTAGAAAAGTAAAGTTTGTATTTAGGATCTTCAAAAATGGTAAAAGGAATAAATGTGTCGGAATAAGCATGAAACCTTTTTTATATTTATGCTTCTCTACGGAGGCTTTAAACTGATTTGCATCACAGCTCGGGCCCGAAGATCACGTGACCGTTGCGTTGGTCACGTGACCGGGCAGTTCGCAAAGATCTGGCCAATAAAATTGTAGCTGTTTTTTAGTTTTGAAAGGGGCCACTCCTGAGCAGTTTTTAGTTGTCAAAAGGGGGAGACCTGAGCTGTTTTTAAGGTTCTTTTCTATATACAGCAAACTTAATTTTTCTCATTTCTCATGACAGAATGCGGATAATTGCTTTTAATCCTAATTAAGGCATGTTCGGACAGATTCGTAACTTGCAGAACATAATATCCTAAGTAAAATTTCTCATAGGCATAACCCGTTATTGGATTGAATTTATATATTTCGTTAGAAAATGCAACGTAGAATCATATTAATATTCTATTTATCTCTTTAACTTCAACGGATTTTTAAATACTCTATATCAGTATATATATAATGCTAGCTATAATGATATTAAGATAAAGACTCACTTCAAAGATATATTTTAATTCAACTCAAAGTTAGCTTTTAGACTATTCACATTTCTTTTCTGTATTTAACTGATAAGCTCAGCGACTTTTAACACTGAACACCTTCAAACTTCTAGACAGCGAATAGAAAATGTCACATTCTATTTTTTAGTATATTTTCACCTTTTTATAGGGGGGGGGGGGTCTCAACCTCAAAAACGACTTGTTTTTACTTTAGAGTTTTTGAACTACAGCAAGTGTGGAACTTTTAACACTGAACACCTTCAAACTTCTAGACAGCGAATTGAAAATGTCACATTCTATCTTTTAGTATATTTTCACCTTTTTATAGGGGGGGTCTCAACCTCAAAAACGACTTGTTTTTACTTTAGAGTTTTTGAACTACAGCAAGTGTGGAACTTTTAACACTGAACACCTTCAAACTTCTTGACAGCGAATAGAAAATGTCACATTCTATTTTTCAGTATATTTTCACCTTTTTATTGGGGGGGGGGGGGGTCTCAACCTCAAAAACGACTTGTTTTAACTATAGAGTTTTTGAACTACAGCAAGTGTGGAACTAGAGTACGTGTACCTATTTGTTTTATATACCATATATATATATATTTTGTTGCTGTACTATATATATATATTTGTTTTATATTGTGCGCCAACTAATTATACCCATTCATTAGTCTTCGTGTGATGAAGTGATGAAGTGTAGCCTTAAAAACACAAAGACTCTTAGACTTAATAAAGAGTTTACCGTTAACAAAACCAAAAGCGATACTAATTTTAAGAAGGGAACCATATGCTAAGTTTTCAATGCGGGCTGATCCGATATAAAATACTTTATGCAGTAGCACTGGAACGGTTTATTGGAAAAGAAAGGTGATCCAGA